GGCACCAAATCCATTTGTTAAATCTCCTAGTATTTTTGATGGAGTCTTTAGGTATTTCTATGGACAGTACCATGCCATCTGTGAATAATGACAGTTTTACTTCTTCTTTTCCACTTATCATGCTTGTTTGACTTCTTGTCTGATTGCATTGCCTAGCACTACCAGTACTCTGTCGAACAGAAGTGGTGAGAGTGGGCATCCCTGTCTTGTTCCTCTTCTTAGAGTAATTGTTTTTGCCCATTGAGTATGATGTTGTCTGTAGGTTTGTCACATAAGGCTTTTATTATGTTGATGAATGATACCTCTATGCCCAGTTTGCTTAGAGTTTTTATCAAGAAAGGGTGTTGGGTTTTGTCAAATGCTTTTTTCACATCAATTGATATGACTATGTGGTTTTTTTTTCTCAATTTGTTTATATGATGTATCACATTTATTGATTTGCGGATATTGTACCATCCTTGCATCCCTGGGATAAATCCTACTTGGTCATGGTGTATGATCTTTTTGATGTACTGCTGGATCCGATTTGCTAGGATTTTGTTGAGGATTTTGGCATCTATATTCATGAGGGATATTGGCCTATAATTCTCTTTCATTGTATTGTCTTTATCTGGTTTTGGGATTAGGGTGATGTTGGCTTCATAGAATGAGCTGGGAAGTGTTCCTTCCACTTGGATCTTTTGAGATAGTCTGAGGAGGATAGGTTTTAGGTCTTCCTTGAATGAATATTTTCTATTTTTAACAGACTCATAGATACAGTGAACAAACTGAGGGTTGCTAGATAGGAAAAGAATGACGGGATGGGTGAAAAATGTGAAAGAAGTAAAAAGTTGCAAAACAGTCATGGGGATGTACAGTACAGCATATAGAATATAGTCGGTAATATTGTGATAACTATGTATGGTGCCAGGTGGGTACTAGACTTATTAGGGGGAATCACGGTAGATTATATAATTGTCTGACCACTATCCTGTACACCTGAAACAAATACAAAATAAAAAGTTTCTATTTTTCAAAGAATTGACCCATTTTGTCTAAGTTATCAAATTTATGGCCATAGAGTTATTTGTAGTTTTCCCTTATTATCTTTTACTGTTGTGGGGTCAAGAGTGATGCCCCGTTTTCATGTCTAAAATTGGTAATTTGTATCTTCTCTCCTATTTTCTTGGTTGTTATGTCTATAGGTTTATCAATTTTATTGATCTTTTTAAAAGTCCAGATTTGGGGTTGATTAAAAATAGAAACATAACAGAGACAAATTTCATTTATTTCTACTCTTATCTATATCCTTTTTTCTCCTTGCTTTGTGTTTAATTTGCTTTCTTTCTCTAGTGTTTAAATTGGGAGCTTAGGTTACTAATTTTAATTTTTCTTTATCTTCTAATATAAGAATTTAATGATGGAATTTTCCCTGTCCACAGTGTTGTAACTACATTCAAGAAGTTTTAATATGCTGAATTTTCATTTTCATTAAATTAAAAATATTTTAAAATTCCCTTGAGAATTTGCCTTTGATTCATGGCTTATTTTGATGTATGTTGTTTAATTTCCAGATATGTGGGGGATTTTTTTTATATATCTTTGTTATTTCTGGTTATTTCCATTATGGTTAGTGAACATACTTTGTATGATTTCAATTTCTAAAAAACTTTTTGTTATACCTATTTCTATGACTAATATCAGAAAACAATAAGTATTTGTGAGAATGTGGAGAAATTGGAACTCTTGTGCATTGTCAGTGGTATTCTAAAGTAATGAAACCATTATGGAAAACAGTATGGTATTTCCTAAACAAATTAAGAATGGAACTCAGAGGGGAGAGAGTTGGCAGGGACAGAAAGAGATTAACTAAAGGACATATATGCATAGCCCATGGACACAGACGATGGTAGGGTGAAGGCCTGGAGTGGGCTGGGGCTGGGTAGAGGGGAGCGAAAGGGGTGGCGGGATGGGGGATGCCTGTAATACTGTCAACTACATATATAGAACACTACCATATGTTTCAGCAATCCCATCCTGTATAATAAACGCCTAATATGCTAAGTGTCTGACTGTTCATTCGACTGTTCAACCAGTCGCTATGACACGCACTGACCACCAGGGGTCAGACACTCCAACTGTTATGTTAGCTTGCTTCTGGGTGTCCCGCCGACTGGGACTGGGTGAGACGGACTGGGCATGCCCTAGAGCCCTCTAGTGGCCCCTCCCTGACCCAAATCATACACCGATAGGGTTCCTTCGCCTGGCCTTTGCCCTCTCTCAATCCAGGGCCCCTTAGGAGATGTCAGAGAGCTGGTTTTGGCCCGATCCCCGCAGGACAGGCCGAGGAACGCCATGCACTGGACCTCTAATATATATATCTCCAAAAGAATTGAAAGCAGGATCTCTAAGAGATATCTGCACACCTCTGTTCATAGCAGCACTAACAATAGCCAAGAAGTGGAAGCAGCCCAAATATCCATGAACTGATAAAGGGATAAACAAAATATGGTAAATGTGTACCATGGAAAATTATTCAACCTTAAAAAAATAAGGAAAATCCCATGGCACCTAACTTTATGTTAGTTTTATAGTCCCCATTCTTACATTAAGATGGTGGTAAACTCAAAATTTCAGAGCTGAAATTACTTGAGGATTTCACTATGTAATGTTCATTTGTTCAACTGATTTTCTGAGCAGCATTACCATGCAAAAATTAGGCTTGGAATCAGACCAGCTAGATTTGAATCTCAGCACAGATATTTACCATCATTGCGACATTAAAGATATTGCCCTCTAAGCTTTGGTTTCCATGTTTTAAATAGAATTTCTAATAATTGAATACCTATTTTATAGAAGGGTGTTAAGCAAAACCAAGTATATGTAATTATTAGCATAGAACCTGGTACATAGTAAGTTTCCAACAAAGGCAGCTCTTGTTATAGTTGGTGGTATTTAAACGTAAATGGTGGGAATTAACATTCATCAATTTATATTTTATTTCACTGATTTGGACCCATGGCTGAAATATGTTTTGAATCTGGAGCATGTAATCTAGCTACAGATCCATTTAGTTGATATATAAAATCTTAAACAACAACAAAGGAATCCAGCTGCTACATGCTATAACATGGATGGACCTTAAGAACATTATGCTAAGTGGAA